TATAATCATTTTGTCAAAAAAAAAAAAGATTCTGATTGTGATGATTCAACTGATTAATTTAAAAATCATTTGAATCCAACATGTAGTTTAAATTAATTTCTCGAAGGGAATTGTCAATATTTATAATATTTGGTACATTGTTTTTGCATGTCATCGTGACCTGTGACAGGCAAGGAAAATCAACACTGCACCAAAAAATAGGTGAAAACAATAACTCTTTGATAAATGAACTTTTATTTATTTTCAGCCTCTTTTGTCCCTACCCTATTTTGTCCCAGTAATCAAAAACCCTTGGTCATTAAGCCTTTTTAACAGGATATTTTGGTGGTAATGATGGTCCAATTTTGTGACATTACAATTTGGGCCATTTTACAAAGTTTGAAACTACACTACATGCATCAAACAAACTCTCACAAGAGGTAGTTTCCATAAGTGTACCTTTATTGATCTCTTTTGCACAGACTGCATCATGACAGCGATGAGGAGCAAAGCTTAAGTCACACCACTGTGCCGCTCACAGAATCAGTCCGCTTGAGTTCTTCCTCTCACTCTTTTCTTTCAAATAGATGGCATGCAGAAAGAAGAAAGCGGTGTAAACATCTACCGAATGCACCAGACGTTCAGCCTGTGCTGGGCTTGCTGGTATCGGAATGAAGGGGTGGAGGTGAGGAAGAGGTGAAGGAGGAAGAGGAGGAGGAAGTGGGCGAGGGAGGAAGGGAGCTGGGCGAGCTGGCCTCACTGCTGAACCCGGCGGAGGGACTGCACCTGGAAGGTCTGGGCGTGGGAGCCCCACTCCCTGTAGTGTTTGTACTCGCCGCCATGGTGGTCACACTCCATGATGTACTGGTAACCACGGTAACCAGGGTACTGGTAACAAACCCAGCTACATGCAGTGAGAAAACACATGACAAATACAAACTGAGATCCCTAATATTCCAAGTATCTCAAATATTACAGCACCTGAATCTAACGGTGTATTGCAGGGGTGTCCAACTAACAACCTGCAGATTTTAGCTCCAACCTGCTTGTCTGGAAATTTCTAGTGAGTCTAAAGACCTTCAGTGCATCTGAAATCGCATACTGTCTGATTAGGTGCTACATTTGAATTTGAACTTACTTTGCGACCTTTAAAAAATGATCTATTATGAACAGTGCTGTGTAGTAATGTCACAAAGTCATTGCTGTTTTCATGTTCATTAATGTTTGTTCATGTAATGCAGAGAATCCCAAACTTTTTTGTCAGCCAAACTTGTTTGACCTAAAATATTTACACGAAGATCCCTGAGATTTAAGTTAATATTTCAATAATTTATCATCACATTTGCATGTTCACAGTTCTCTGATGATGGTTAATGGTCACATTAACATGCAGGTAAACATATTAAATTAAATTTCTATTTTTATTACTTAATCATTTAGGTTTTATATTTTAAAATAATTTATTCATCTTAATTTTAAATTTTTATGATTTAGTTAATTATTAACTTTTCATTAACTCACAAACCCACTGCATTTTTTTATGTTTAATGCACTACATGTTGTTGATTACAATGGAATAAATGGAATATGTATATTTTTTTCTTTTTATATATCAATATGGTACACAATAATCCCAATCTAATTTATGTTATATGCAAATTAGGTCAAAAGAAATCTAAAAGTAATCAAAAAATATTTAGGATATATTAGTAATCTAACAGATTACATTAGTCACTATTTTCACATTAAATTTCGTCATGTAATTTGTAATCAGTAACAGACTACAATTTGTAAGTAATCTTCCCAGCACAAGTATGAATATTGGTCAAATTCATCTTAATATGGCCATTGACAAATCCTCTCCTATGGCCTCATGGGATAGCACAGTGTCCATCAAATGCACACTTCAGAATCTCGTTGGAAACAATAGGTCGTCCAGGTACTTTTCACCTACTATTTTCCAAATACTGTATACATTCAGACATACTTTTTTTGCATATTATACAGTAGAGAAGTATTTGATTTTTGAATGCAATACTTGATTAGCTGGTTAATTTGTGTTTAATTAGGGTTGTAGCTAAACTCTGCAGGACAGTGGCCATCCAGGAACAGGTTTGGACAGCCCTGGTGTAGCGAGAGAGACAAGTATGGTACTCACGCCCCACTTTGCACCTGCATTGATCCGATCTCGTTGGAGGGCCAGCCCATGGCCTGGAGAGAGGGGTAGTCATCGGTTATCTCCCACTGGTGTCCAATAAAGTTCTCCCGCTCAAAGACGGTAATCTTTGACTCCTTGTGGTTCTGCACAGATCATAACAATGGGAGAGATTGTATTTTATTTGGAGAGACTGGTAAATCATTTCACCACTGATAAGTTGACATGGTTTCAGACTCACAGCAGAGCAGATTGGCCGGAAGGACATTAGCCTCTCAATGTGGTAGGCATTGCTGCCGCTCCAAGACTCCCAGCGAGGGTAGTCGCCTCTTTCCAAGATGAACTGCTGCCCACAGAAGCTGGAGTGTTCATAGCCCACCCAGCTGTTTAAATAGACACATGTACACAGAAAATTGGCATAATACAACAACAACATGGACTCTTTTAGATGTGTGTGTCTGTGAGTGCATGACTTACGCGCCACACTCTACCTTCAGAGAGCGGACATTGTCCATGCCACATTCCATGATGTTCTGACAGGCTGAGGTGAACTCCATGCGCTTGCCTTGGAAGTTCTCTTGGTCATAGACTGTGAGCTATACACATATTCACAGACATAACAGAGATGAGATTCAAAGCATTCAATAGCATTTTGCATGATTTCATAGCCATCAAGTGTTTACTTGCCTTCCATGGCCCAAGTGGCATGGGATTAGTCAGAGCCATCCTTGAAGATATCTCAATGCTGATAGACCTGAAGAACAGAGATATGCAAAAAAAAAAAAAGGTGTGGGTTCTATATAATTTATGACAAGTGTACAAATAGCCTGAGGATAATGAACAAGAAAGATATGGCAGCCAAATGCCTTTGTTGCTCCAACAAGTTAGACCTAACAAAATAAATCATACTGATTCTCTCTGCTGATTTAGACGATATAATCCAAACATAACAGAATAAAACCACCTTTAACTGAAATAGAAAAGACAGGTTTATGGCCAAAACATGAGGCCTTAAACAAAAAGTATACACAAACCTACAAATTGCATAGATTATATCAGATTTAGCCAAAAGCATTAGTAAAAAAAAAAAAAACTATCAATGTCAGGAATGTTTTGTTATGCAAAGCATAGAATGCCTAGTCTTTTTTATTTTAAATACATTTTAATAAAAAATATTTATTTAAGTTTAGTGTAGTCTTTTGGTTTACATTTAATTTTCTGAAATGCCAATAAAAGTCATTTTAATTTTTCTGAAATGCCAATAAAAATCATTTTAATGTAATTCAATTTAATAATTTAACTTAATTTAATTGATTTAAATTAATACTAATTTAATCTGTTGATTTACATTCAATTTTCTGAAATGCCAATATGACAAAAAAAGTGTCCATGCATACTTTGTAAAAAAAAACGCCCACATATATGCTTGCTATGTTTGAGTTTTTAATTGTGTATACATGATAGTGCACCCCTCGTTTGAGTTTGCAAAGCATGCTAAAAGATGATCACAGTGGCTGAAAGGACAACCATTAAGGGCTTACCTGACCTACCCAACAAATAGCTGCAAGCGCTCAGGAGTTCCACACAACGGTCTCCAGACCACCAACTAAGGGCTCTATTTATATGTAGCATGACAGAAAGGGAAGACTGGCCACAGGGCAGGCAGGAGTCAGCACTTTGCCCCAGGCCTCATTGTTTTGGACTGAGCCTTTGGCTTTACCCAGCTCACAATGCCATCTGCCGTAGCCAGGGAGGCATCGTGCCTACTGGCATCTGCCACAGGAGTGGATGCCAGGCACAATGATTCCATGCATGTTTTTACATATGACCGGAGCGTACGGCAAAACACAAATGCTTGCATAAACACAAGCAAGCTGTTTCGACTTAAGATTGTTCCAGCAAAGACAACACAAACAGTGACTTCCAGGTTTTCAAAAATGGTTGGTAAAAGCATCGCAACCACCAAAAAAGCTTAAAGATAGTCAAAGAATGGTGGTTTTTAAGTGTTATCTGTCATTAAAAGTCCATTTTTATCCTGCACTGAGACTCGTCTGCTCTCCCCTCGCCACAGTTACAGCCACAGAGTGATTCAGAGACCCACTTCCACCTGCCTTTACATACTCGCACACATATGCATACATACGCAATAGGTCCTTACAAGCACATCCATTCAACATCCATGTCCTGCCCACTCCTTTGACTTTATGCAAAGCAGGCTGCATGGATGGGGCCCAGTGTCGCACTAGGAGGTCCATGACTAAGTAAAATGAAGCGTAAATAAGAAGATTAATAATCAATTTTCAGCTTTTTAGGTAAGTGTCAATGTGGTTCTTCAATGAGACATACTTTTTGATGGTCAAATGTGTTTGACTGTGTGAATAATTACATGCATCAATATTTATAATTGTTTAATATTTAATAGTCTGGCAAATGTTGTGCATCTGTTTTTTACTCTTAACTTAAGCTCCAAATCCTTGACAACTTAAAATTGAACTGTAACCACCAAATAAAACTGCTGAAGCTTCACACAACGGCAACAAGTCCTCTTTCTCTCAATGGAGAGGTCTGTGGCCAGTCTACTGAGGTCAGCACATTGCTAGCTGTGCTGTAGAGAGTGAATGAGTGTATGTTTGAAAGAGAGAGTTGAAGGGATAGGGGCTGTGGAGAACCACGCTTTCTGCTGATGGAGGTAGACATCAGACATCCAGCCGCGGCCTGAAACAAAGCAATGAGCAGAGTCAGCAGGGTCACAGAGATAAGCCTGCACTCCAAACCCCTCCAAACACCCATCACTTTTAGCCAATAGCCTGGTCTCATTCTGCTCTAGAAGTACTGCTAGCATATATATATGTATATAAAACCCATTCGAAGCATGAAGCCCTTTTACATTTGGACCTTGGCATCCTTTCCTTCGCCAGCACTCCTATTACATTCCATTGCTCTGTGCCTGACTGCAAAATTTTGGTGAGATTTGATTGGGGAGGTGGACATTTCAGAATGGCCACACTTTAAATAAGCTTGCTGTGACTGGAGAATGTATAGCGATAGATGTTTTTGACTGATTTGAGTACAAAGATTAATAGGTATTAGAATAATTTCTGAAGGATCATGTAACACTGAGGACAGCAGTAATAGTTGCTTTGCCACGAGGAATAAAGAATATTCTAAAATATTTTAAAATAGAACATTGTAATAACATTTCAGAATATTACTGTTTTTCCTGTGTGTTTTTTTTTTTTTTTTAATTCAATAATCTTTTAAATAAGCTTGTTGTGATTGGAGAATGTATAGAGATAGATTTTTTGATTGATTTGACTGATTTGAGTACAAAGATATTAGAATAATTTCTAATAAATAAATTACTGTAAACTGTAGACTACTGCAATGACCGTTTTGCAATCAGGAATAAATTATTACTGAAAATATCTAAAAATAGAAAACTCTTTTTTATTGTAATAATATTTCACAGTATTACGTTTTTTTTTAAATCAAATTTAATAAGAAACCCATTTTAGTTATTTCAGAGTAGCCGTCCTATAAATAAGCTTGTTTGGGGAACATAAAGATATAGATATAGATTTAGATATTTTTGCCTGATTTGAGTAAAGAAGATTATTTAGATATTAGAATAATTTCTGAAGGATCATGTGACACTGAAGTTTGGAGTAATGGCTGCTGAAAATTAAGCTTTGCCATCAAAGGAATAAATAACATTTTTTAAATATATTAAGATAGTAAACAGTTATTTTAAATTGTAATAATATTTCACAATATTACCGTTTTTGCTGCCCTTTAAATAAACTTCCTGTGATTTGGGAAATGTAAAGATATATAGATTTAGATGCTTTTCACTGATTTGAGTAAGGAAGATTCAAACTTATTACTTTATAGAAAAGACCTTGTAAAAAAATTAACTTGACTGATTTCCCAACACTGATAATGGATTCTGTATAAAATGTGTGACTACAACAAAGTATTAATCTTAATCTGTTATTAACAGCTTCAGCCATGTCACACACTGCTGTACAAGGAAGTATGGGTAGTCGCTATGCCACAGGATTGAGCTCCCACAGAGTATGTCAAATCTGCCATGTTCTTACTAGATTCCCACTTTTTCATCTAATATTGCCATTACATGTGTGATGTCAAAGATGCACTTGCTGAATGATTTGTCTTTACTGTGTGTTCTCTGATCAGATATATCTGTTTGAGTATGAGAATTTCCAAGGGCGCATGATGGAGCTGAGTGGAGAGTGTCGTAACATCTGTAACAAGGGGTTAAACCGTGTGGGCTCCATCAGAGTGGAGTGTGGGCCGTAAGTACTCATCTGACAAATCATATGCATGATATTAATAATAATAATCATAAGATGAGAGGAGAATGAAAAATATATGGTGGTGGTGATGATGATGATGATGATGGTGATTATTATTATTATTATTACACAAAATTCAGATGTTTTGGATACAATTATTTTAAGAAATTAATATTTTTATTTTGGAAGGATATGTTAAAACTGATCAGAAGTGACAGTAAACAAAGAACCATGATAAAATGTATCACAGTTTCCACAGAAATATTAAGCTGCACAACTGCTTTCAACACTGATAATAATAAGAAATCTTTCTTAAAACAAATCAGCATATTAGAATGATTTCTGAAGGATCATGTGACACTAAAGAGAAGACTGCAGTAATGACTGCTGAAATAGAGAAGTTATTCTAAATGACTTAAATACATTTAAATAACTTTAAAAAATAATGACAAATTAAGTTATTTTAAAAAAATTATTTATTTGTAATAATTTTACATTGTAATAATAGTAATGGCTATTCATCTTTCATCTATTCATCTGAAAATTCATCTTGTCATTTTAAAATATATTAAATTAAAAAACTGTCTTTTTAAAATTAGAATACTATTTCATATTATTACTGTTGTATTATTTGTTTATTTATTTGCTTTCTTTCTTTTCAATAAATGGGCTGCGTTAAGCATAATAGAAAAAAATTTAAAAATCATAACGACCCCAACATTTTTAATGGTAATGTTATAAAGGAGCAATTTAAATGGGAAGTCCATTAAAAAAGATAAACGTCCTAATTTTATATTTTCCATAGATCAAATAATGAAAAATTTAAAAATAAATAAATACAAATATTTTTGTAATTCTTTTTTATTTGTTAACTCCACATCTAATCAGTCACACAAAACCACTGTTAACTAGCACTGATTATAATAAAATCTGATTCATAAATACACTATTTTTTTCTATACTGTAAATGCAGTAGATGTAAACAGAGCATTTACAGTACATGTGTCCTTTACCATCTTGCAGATGGGTAGGTTTTGAGCAACAGGATATGACCGGTGAGATGTTCATGCTTGAGAGGGGCGAATACCCACGCTGGGACACTTGGTCCAACAGCTACCGTTGTGATCGTCTCATGTCTGTCCGGCCCGTTAGAATGGTGGGTGACCGTTGCATCACTCCATTTCCCACTTCATCCCCAACCAACCAATACAGGAACACAGTAACAAACTTATGGCCTTTCTACATGTAGGACCCACAGGACCATAGGATCTGTCTGTATGAATGCATGCACTTTGATGGTCGTAAGATGGAGGTTTCTGAAGAAGACATCCCAAGTTTGTGCTGCTATGGCTTCCAGGACAGAGTCGCCAGCATTAAAGTAAATGGTGGAACGTAAGTGATTTAGCATCTCTTACATATTACAAAAAGATGATTACCTATTTGATGTCACCTTATCAATTAACGTATGCTACGTTCATTCCTACTTTAGGTGGGTTGGATATCAGTATCCAGGCTACCGTGGATACCAGTACCTGTTTGAATTTGGATCCTACAAACACTGGAATGAATGGGGCGCCCATCACCCCCAGATCCAGTCTGTGCGAAGAGTGAGGGACATGCACACGCATCCCAGAGGCTGCTTCGAGATGGCATAAGGAACGGCACACGGCATGGACAGGTGGACACAACAAAACCCTGCAGAGAAACCCTGTGGAATGTTAAAAAAAAAAAATCTTCATATTCAAAAAGAGCTGCTCTAAATAGGAATGAACTATCATGTGTTCATGTGTGTCATGACTGGTTGCAGAACCAGTTTTAAGTACAGCATTTTACATCCAACCGCTTAGTTAAAAATAAGTTTAGCAAATGGATAAAACAATTTTATGTCCCAAATGTAATGCTTGTTGAAGAATTCATCAGTTTTGTTTGATAGTTTTGCATCATTGCATGTTTTTTGCTCTACCCAAACCTCCTAGCATACCATCCACAAATGACCTAAAGACTTAATCAGAATCTATTTCTAATTTAGCTGCTAAACCCTGCAGGGAATAGTCATTGAACCAGAAGGAGGTGCAATTCAGCACCTCAGCATACTCAACCTTCTCCTGCTTCATCACAGCACATGATCTAGAAGCTCAACCAGTATCGTGATGATCAAGGTTCTCAACATGGCAGGCTGGATGGGAAGAGAAGAACTGCTTTTCTTCCTCTTGTTCCTGGTACAGATTTCAGACATCCTTTATTTTCTAAATAGAGGAGAACCTGCAACACTTTATCTTCCTCAGGGATGCTGGCATCTAAAACACATTTACTTGAAAATAAATAAACAAAAATAAAAGATTTTAAAGCACAATTATTGTACAATGTCCTTAATTCATTGCTCTGCTCTCATATTAACAGTGCTTAGACTAGAGAACACATTAGGTGAATTGTTTAATTATATAATTCATCATGCATAATAAATGAGGTAACAAGAAAAATTAAAACAATAACTGATATACACACTAGCTGGTAGTGGATAGTTGATATATGAAGAAAAAAAATCCCTTGCAAAAATTAACGATGGTTTAATTATAGTAAAAACTGTATAGTAACCATGGTTTTTTGGCGTATTGATTACGATTTGTATAACCACAGTTTTACTACAAATACCATGGTTAAACTATAGTCCACGAGTTCGCCTGCCCATCCAGTCCTGATGGTTAATGGTAAACGAACTTGGCTTGCTGTCCTTAATGGAGGCTCAGCTTGAGCACCGAGTTCAACCCCCCATTGGAGTACTACCTAGAGGGAGAAAAACAGAAATAGAGGAGGAGATGGGGAGGTGGAGGGATGCTGGAAGAATTGACGCTGGGACCATGCAACGAGAGCTGCTTATTTAGGCTCGCAATGTTCATTGACAGGACTGAATGATAAGGCTCCTCCCTAACCTACGTTTGGAACTTCATTTAGTGTTGCAAAACCATGGTTAATTTGTGGTTACCATGGATTAACTATAGAACCATGTTTTTTTTGGTTTTATATGAAGTTCCAAATGTAGGTTGGGGAGGAGCCTAATTATTCAGTCCTGTCAGTCATCATTACGAGCCTATATAAGCAGCTCTCATTGCGCCGTCCCAGTGTCAATTCTTCCGGCATCCCTCCACCTCCTCCTCTATTTCTGTTTATCTCCCTCTAGGTAGTACCGCAATGGGGGATTGAACTCGGCGCTCAAGCCGAGCCTTGGGTTCGAGCCTCCATTAAAGACAGCGAGCCAAGTTCGTTTACCCTTAACCAGCAGGACTGGGTGGGCAGACGAGCTCATGAATTGTAGTAAAACCATGATTAATTTTTGTAAGGGTTGTTGATAGATAGATAGATAGATAGATAAGATAGATAGATAGATAGATAGGTAGTGAAAATAGCCTAGCTAAAAACAATCTCTCGCTCTATGTATATGTATATGCACAAAAAAAGTATTTTCAAATGAAATAGCAGACATTACTTTAAAACAGAATTGACTTTCGAACCGTCTGCCCACTTCCTTCTGCAAGTTAATACTGTTCATCTCTCTAGGGTTTTGCTCGATTACATGAAGTGGTTGCTTTAATACCTTCAGCAGCAGGCAGACATGCAGATTACAGAGCTAGAGCCACTCGCCCTAGGAAAGGAGTAAAATAACTCAATATCTTTAGAAGACTGACTGGCTGGGGGAGGTGAATGCGCTATTCTTGTATCCGTAAAAAGGCTGCGTTAAATAACGACAACGCATAACACAGCAGAGGTGAGGCAAACAAACGGCCCTTGCCAGAGAGGTTGGGTGGGTGAGAAGACTGCAACTCGTGCACGAACAGCAGCATCGTATAGCATTTAGAGATGAAAGTGAAGCAAGGCTGCGCCGCGGATGTTCCGTGTACGACCGAAGAGGTTTTGTTAAACAGCACAGAAATAACGCCGGAGGATGTACTCGGGCTGCAGAAGATCACAGACAGTAAGTTCAGTAACATCAATGTCACTCTCAAACAGGAAGCTTCCGCTGACGAGCTGCTCTGCTAACTTACACTGTTGCACATTTACCAGTGCGAAATTGCAGGTTTCGCTCCTGCATGTTTAGTCTCGCGGTTTGTGTTTTATTCAGTCGCGCGCTGTGACATTCTAAGTACGAAACATTTAGCGTCTGCGTCTTTGTATGGTCTTCATTTTGGCCGAACGAACCCAGTGATATGGTTCATTCGGCTCTTCCTTGGTAAATAAACAACACTGTGGACATTTCCATGTACTGACTGACAGTGACGACGTATGCTATTAAGTTTACTGATGAATGGGCTGAGAATTGAGAAATATGTCCATTATTTATGGTCGAAGTGGACGGAACACCGTAGTAAAATACTCGGACAGTGATTCCTGCACGACTGTTCATCAGCGTTGCGAATGAATGACTCTTTTGAGCCGGTTCTTTTTAGCAAAGCAAAACTATAGTCCGACAGCTATGACTAATGTAGTCCGCTTCTCGAACGAATGACTCTTATGAGCCGGTTCTTTTTAGTGAATCAAAACACTTACTAATCACTGTGTATTAATCTGACGTAGGTTCATATGAAAACGTGTAGTCAAAGATATACATTTTGTGTTTTGTTGTAATCAATGGCATTTCATTAAAAAAAAATAGGCTGAAAGAAAGAAAGAAAGAAAGGTATGAAATATAGGCTAGTTATTGTTTGTTTAATCAAACAACAACAGTTAACGTAGGGCAAATTTTAAAGGACCTCTAAAAAGTCTGTAAAAAGTCATTAAATACAAGAGTTATACACATGCCTATCTGTTAACCGAGATAGCCTAACTGATTCTCAGGTGTGATTGTTTTGCAAAAAAATTTCCAGAATCTAAATAAGATAGCCTACCTTATGATTAGAGGATCATTTGTATCCATTATTCATTTTTAATGAAGGTTTTTATGTCCATGTAAGATTACAAAGTTATTACTCTTGCTGAAGCTCATACTATCTGGGAAGGTTTTCTCAAAACAGGCTTCAGCATTTACTTCAATTACTGTTTAAGTACTGTAAGTACTGTAGCACACACTTAAATAGGGTTATTACAGTTAACTAAAAATCCATTAAAATATTACTTGAAATTAAATATATAATAACTAAAAATATAAAATAACAAAAACTTTATTTCAGCTAGTTAAAGGTTCATTGTGTCGCCTGCCAATGATGTCATAACCCCTCGATTTCCGGTTTTGTTTTGTAGAAAACATTGAAACACCAAAGACGCTTTAATATGTTGTGCGTTTTATTAGACCGGTGACGAGTGCACAGAGTAGCATTATTATTATAACAGAACTTTCAAATGTATCTAGTATGATAAACCAGCGCTGCTTTTTTTCCCCCCACATACGCACGACCGGAAGGAGCGGAAGCGGTCGACTGTGGCATAATAAAAGCTCCGCTGCTTTCGAGCCGTGTGTCACGCTCGTTCAGCAGCCTCGTTTCGCTTAGATGTCTTTCAGCCTCACCCTGCTTCATTCTACTACGTTAATAAATCATTAGCTCATCCATGAACATGATTTCTGCCCGAGTCCCGTCGGATTGCATCGGCTGTGGGGATGAAGACCACAACTCCCATGATTCCACACTCAGTCACTGCGTCATCAAACTACACCTTTGTCTCTTTGTTTATTTTGAATACGCGCCCTCCAGCGGCGAAAATGACATATTGTGCCTTTAATCTGATCAATTTGATGATTATGTAACATATTATTGTGTTGAAAATCTATTATAATGCAATGTGTTAGAATTTGATTTGACTAATGATACTTAAAAAGGAAGTAAAATTCTGATTTACTCATTCAAGAACTGTTTCTTCTTCACTAGTTAGCTTACAATTTAATTACAATTAAAAAGAGGACCTTGTTGGTTCAGTATATTATAATTTTTGCATGTATCACTTCGTCAGGAAATCAGATGCTAAGCTTTAGTACAGCTGGATGACTCAATATTGCTTGTGAGCTGTTGTTCTGGCTGTTTTAATGTTGTCTTGCTCATTGCTCCAGCATGCAAGGCACTCTATCTGGCACTTAAACAAAGATAACTGAGCAAAGACCAGATCTGTTAAATGCAACTGCTCAGTTTCTACAGATTTCAGATCATCAACAGTTTTTACATCACTGGCAATGTCACAACTTACTGAAAGACATTTGCATTACTGTTACCCTTATCTCATGACTTCTTACAGACCATAAAGAATAGTTCACTTGGAAATAATAGCTACTCTCTCATCTTTGCCATCACTTGTTGTTGTGAGTCATTAGCTCTGAAATATGAGTGGTTTGTGGTTGAAAAATCAACAGTGTATTCTTATCCTGAGTTTTAAAACATCTACTTGAATAAATATATTTACAAATGCGTGGAAGAGAAGTGCTGAGAAATCACTCTCCTTTATTTAAACGGAAAAAAAACATGTCTGTCTAATCATTTGAATTAGCGCTCTAAAAATAAAAGCTGCTCTTGTTTAAGGCTGCTATTCTGAGGAAAGTGGATATTTGTATGCAAGCTTGCTTTTTTGTCTTCTTTAACTCGTTACTGTTATAAACAAGAATGCAGTGTATATTTAAGTGATAAAATAGTATAAATGTAAGTTATGTTAAATAAATGTTGCGATTTCATTAGGGAAATTGATTGACTTTTTAGCAAATGGTTACATCCTTCTATCTTTAGTTTAACTGCTCAGTTTGGCACTTTAGTTAGAGTGTTTGGAAACTTAATAAAGGATGAATTATATGGTGTTTAGATACGCACATTATGCCTCATAAATCTAAATGAACCTGTGTGGTCTTGTAAATGAACGCTGGATCGATCATAATCTGTGTTTGTTATACGCAGCAGTTCCTTTTGTTTACCCAAAAATAACAGGTGGTAGTTATCCTGGATTTGATTCAGAAGATATGTTGCTAGGTGACAGCATTAGAAGCAGTAAAGAGAGGCTCCTTGGTGGTTTGGAAAGCTACATTGACACTTGACTGCCACATTGCTCTGATTATTTCTGTTTTGATAATGATTTGCACACATTTGACGTTTTGTCAGATAATCTAAAAATCACACAGATACTGCTTAATATAAATGAATTGACTTGGCTATGTTAGGTTACACAAGCAAAAACATCTTTAAGGAACAGGCAGAAATAACTCATTAATGTAACAACTGCACATTTTCACTTTTTTATAGTTCACAAATAAAGCAGATGCTTCATAAACAAACCAGGAGCTTTGCCCACTTGATGTGAGGTTTTTTAGGCAATCATCTTGGACCACTGGACCATTGAACTTTAAAATGACACATGGTTACACTTATAATGAGGCCTCCATCATGAAAACTGAGTTATGAAAACTAGATATTTATTTTATTTTTAAAATGTATCAGCTAAACATTATAAATAATTGACTAAACTTAAAATAATGCCTCCATCATGAAAACTGGGTTATGAAACTAGGTATTCTATGTTATACATTATAAGTTATACTATATTTAAAAACTTTACTATCGGAGTATTAAAAATAAATGACTAAACTTAAGATGCCTCCATGAAAATGGGTTATGAAATGAGATAAGTTTTTAAATGTACCTGCTCAACATTCTAAATAATTGACTACACTTATAATAATGCATTCACTCTGAAAATGTTATGTTGTTATATTAATATTTTACCTTCTCAATATAAAAAATAATTGACCACTTATGATGCCTGCAGCATGAAAATGTGGTTATAAAAACTAGATAACAGTATTTATTTGTTTGTTTGTTTTATCTTCTAATTTAATATTAAAAATACTGTGTTGTCCAAATTATTTCTCTTTCCTTTTTCCATTTTAAAGCATACAAATCTCACTAAATAAAGTTTAAATTACTGAGATTTACACTTAAAAATATGCACTATTATTTATGTTGACATGAGCTGTCTCTGTTCATCTGTAGTCTCTCTTCACCTCTTCACTGACTATTTGTATTTTTGCACTCACACACAGCAGTGCTCACATACAGTAGATTGGTCCCACTGTGTGCCAATTCATGAGGTTAAGTAAACATAGCAAAACATTTCCCTGAACAATTTATTGAGTGCTATAAAGGTGTTGATATAACAAGCACGTTTTGTGGTATTAGCAAGTGCAGTAAAAAAAAAAAAAAAAAAAGGTGAAATATGCAAAGTAGCTATCTGTTTCTTGTCTATTCAAGTTTCAGTTCCGCTCTGAATCGGCTCTTGTGCGAATGTGTCAATATCCGGGACATGTTTGAAAACTACTAATTCCATAGGACATTTTTTAGTGAATGATTAATGATTGATTGTTTAAAGTTTTCATTTGTCATTTTCATCATCACATATCTGATTTGTGACAGTTTTGTGGAATTCTGCCATTTTTTATTTTTTATTTTTTCCATCAGCATAATTATTTTCATGCTTACATGAAATAGTTAATGATTTCATTAATAAACCACAATATAAAGCTGTTTTAAAGCCTGAGCAGATGTTAGTATTTTGCCTTCCCTTTCTCAGACTGGCACACTTCTGAAGCAGAGGAGCTATAAATATCTCAAGTGATTGGCTAAATCCAGTGTTGCCTGTCTGTTAACTAACAGGAAGCTTGGGTAGAGGATAGGTGGGACGTCTGCACTGTCCCACGGGAAGGAAGTGATATACTCAGCCTGTAGTGTTGAGCTCATCTCAGTGTCATCCTAGCAGAGATGGACCTCTCAAAAGTTAGAGTTGTCCCAAATCCCCTTAGCATCTCCCAATCCTGGCCATGTGATGGTGAACAATGTAAGCTTCTTAAGTATAATCCATCCCAGGAAGAAGAGGGCTGACACAGCTGCTCCTCGCACCTCATGCGCCTCTTCTGGGAGTCTGGCATGAGCTAAGAGGGACGCATGTGAAAGGGCATGATAAGATTGGACTGACCCAAGTCATTAACTCCAGGCCACAAATAAATCACCACAT